AATTGGCAAGTGGCACGCCTTCCGCGCTCTCGGTCCAAGGGTCGAACCGGATCTCACCCAGGTCAGCCAAGCATGCTTCATTCCGGGAGCTGTTAATTGGTACCGTACTCGTCTGGGAGGACAAGAGCATTGACTCGCGTAACGGATGGCCCTCGCAAGTCGTTGTATAGGCCACCTCCATTGACTAAGCCACTGCGATTTCGAATGGGGATTGGATGCGTGTCACGTTCCACAAAAAGGGATCGGTAAAAACTAAGGCTGCAGACTTTGCTTTTTTATTTCCCTCAGTGACTTATGATAAATCCAAGCGTCGTGTTTTTGTAAGTTAAAGTCAGTTGGCACGATAATATGGTACTCGGCCTAAACTGCTAGCAGGGCGCTATATAAAAGGAAAATGGTCGAAAACTGCGCAGAAAAGCCTTCGTTCTCAAAAAGCAATTTCGGACGAGTTTCCCGTAGGCACCCTGCCAATAACCGCTACGGTAGGTACGGCTGTATGTGCCATATATCCATGCAGCATCGCAGCCGCTTCATACCAATGCCTTCGCTTCATATTTTACTTAGCAAATGAAGCAATACGAGCGTCAGGAACGGTCGTCCATTTGTGGGCGGGCGGGCGTGGCGGGCGTTTGGGACGTAAAGTTGTGGCTTGATAGGGCCCTTATAAGGGCACCTTCCTCGGGGAAACCGCTATGCAGCGCCTGCCCAGGGTCGCGGAATTCTATCCTGCCAGGAGTATTGATCCTAGTCGTCTTGGGGATTTATCGTGCCAACTGCCTTTAAGCCAACTAACTAAGTTAGCTAGGAAGTGTCCCGTGCACCAAGATAGTCCCGCAACTCTGATTCCCTGCCTCTACCCTAAAGGTGGTGTCGGTCGGCTTACTATAGGCTATATGTGAAGTTGGCTTTGTGATACGTTGGAAGTGTTGTGGTAGTTCATTTCGGCTCAGACAGTGAATTACTTCATGTTCTACTTTGATGCCATCTCTTTCCTTGAGGCTCATTTTAAGCGCTCTCCACCGGTTCCATGGCGAAAAATCATCACAAATCCAGCATTCCTGGCTCATCTCATTGCCACATGGATTCTCACTAATGTTGTCACAGTCATGATGGTCTATTTGCCCACCTACTACAAGGATGTGCTTCTATTAGGCATTATTATGGTATGTTGATGCGACGATTGAACAATTGCGTATGAACGAATAATGGAGAGTGAAAACGGCAAGCAGTTCTGGCACACCCTGAACATACGAGTTGAACTCTGACGCGCGAAAGGGCTGTGTGACATCTGCACGCCCATGTGCTGTCGTGATCCCTGCAAACGAGAGGGTGTTTGACGGGACTGGTGGAAAGAAAGCCCAGGCTGGGCTCCAATATACAACCCCTCATGCCCCATCTCATTTTCAGGGATTACACTGTATTTTTCTCAATGTCGTCCATCCATTACTAGCTCAATCAGTAATTTGATCCTTTTATGCTTTTCAGAAAATCTCTTGCACATCGTGGGCATAATTCCATTTCACCAAGTGTATTTTGGGTGCTGTACCACCTAGCAACTGGCACCTGCATGCACCCCACGTAGACACGATAAAGGCAGAGCCCGCGTTCAAAAATATCTGCTGAGCTGAGTTGAGTAATGAGTTATCCGGCTACTTGGGGGATATAACAAGTAGCAATGTGATTCGGCTGTGTGGGGAAAAAAGCAGACTAAAAATCCCTGGGGGAAGTGCCTATATAGGACCATCGGCCGAAGGCAGGCACGTGCATCTGGCAGAAAGAGGACACGGTCGGACGAATGTTCGCTTGTTGGTCCGAAATGGAGGGGTTAGTAGAGCGAAACAACTCTTTTTGGAAGCCATGATAAATGAAGTTAGGCGTTGCGGCAGTTCCTTCACGAACGTGCGACTTTCCTCTCACTTTTTTTTTGAGCTGCCAAATTAGGACATCCTCCATCTTTACTTTAGGAGGGTCACCATATTCAAAGAAGGTGTGAGAACATCAAATGAGCACAGGCTGTGCCTTTAATGTCGTTTCTTTATTAGCGCGTACTTCTCCCTGCCCCTTCCCTCTTTTCTTCTCTAAGAAATGAGAACTACCACGCGAACGCAGCCTTGACGTAACACAACCACATGTCGTCCTTCCAGAAAGAACTGCAATGGGGAGCTTCCATGAATAGTGAAGAGTTTCAGGCCATTGAGTCACGAACTTCCTGACCTCTTTAGGTCTGCCATGCCCCGTGTTAACTTTGGGCCTTTTATTTGTCCTGAATAAGAGATAAGTACATAAAAAGTGAGTACCTATGAGAAAACAATTTTTATTTCAAGAACGGATTGTTTTCCTCGTTGCCAATGATGTTTAACTTCTTGTTCAAACTCTCGTGGGGAGTCCTCGTCGATAGACTGAAGCGACGAAGAATTCTTACGCCAACTCAAGGAGTGAAAATCTCGCAGTGCTTTCGTGAGTGCACTGTTCCATAGCAAGCCACACCATGCCAAATAGCTCGAATGAAATGATTTCAGCCACGTTTGGTGTAGCGGCAGGGCTTATACCTGTAGCGCTGCTAGCCACTTGTCAGCGACCGGTGCTTACTCTGGTTCTCTTCTGTTTCACTAATATGTGCCTTGGGGCGCACACGAGGTTGGTCATTTCCTGCTCGGAGTTGTCATAGTCTTTGTTCTTAGAGACTGTTTGTCCGCTTACGTGACGCTCCTGTTGCGAAATCGAGTAATGCAGTGCCCACGGACAACTCGGACTCAATCCCCTTGATCGCGCCAACTTTATGTTTTTCTCTGCGTTCTCACGTCTGCATCACACTCTGTGACCATTGTGACATTACAAATTCCAACTTTTCGCGCATTGCAGTTGACTGCTTATCCGGACTTCCCGCCCTGTGAACAGTGACAGCCACAGTGCTTTGTTTCTCTGCACTCTGACCTTTCGCGCCGGGACTCCACTGAAAAAGCTATTTGTGCATGTAACCTCAATGCAGAGGCGGAGGTGGTGTAGTGACAAGTGGCGCGCTTACCACTCGCGCGGCGCCGGGTTCAAATCCCGGGTCGACTCCCGCCCAGGCCAACCAAGCCTTCTACCCTCCGGGGACGGTAAATTGGTACCAGATTCGTCTGGGAGGAAACACTGACTTGTACATCGGCTGGCCACCGCAAGTCATTGTATAGGCCACATCGCATTCATGAAAAGCTCTCTGAGTATTCCTTGTCGTGCGTGTTTTTAACGAGCGCTCCTGCGCCAAACCTTAAAAGACAATTTCCCATATGATAATTTGTGGACTTTGGGATCCTAATATGGTTGCCAGTTGACTCACATTTGAGGAGAGGAAAGTCCAAAACCTTCGAAGAAGCCCTAAATCAGGTCGCAGAGTTGGAATCGAGGCGCTGCTGCGCTGGCATGAAGAGAGAAAAGGGATAAGCGGGCAAGAAAACAGCTGGAAAACTGGAAGCGGACAAGACGACAGAAGTAGACTCTTTACAAAATGAGGGTGCGCGTCACATTTATTATTATTGCGTTTACAATTCGTAATCACAGAATGCGCCATCGAACTTCCCGAAGATAGGATAATGTAGTGAAGCTAAACATTTCTATTTCAAAGCGAACTGTTACGCTTAAATCTTGCAACGGAGGA